AGTATACTCTCAAGTCTGAATATTAGTATATACCAATACTTTACTAAAATGAATAGGAATCAGAAATATAGTTTTATCCTTTTTGTACAGGTGCTGTGGCACTTTGATTAGTTCCTTTTGTAAGCATAATACGTGATCTTCAAATTCTTGTGTGTTATAGCTGAAAACAAAAAGATAGAATGTCACATTTAACTTGTTGGAGAAAAATGGTGAATTTTAAAAACTGGTATTCCAAAACCAAAAGCTCCTTTGGATTATAGTGTGAAATTATATAGTTAAATTTCTGAAAGATCTCTTTAGTAAACTGAATCTGTAAAGTCTCTGTTTAGAAGATCTCTTTTTCTGAAAGCCTCTTTGCCTTTCATTATAAAAGAGCCTGGTACTGCTTTCTGTTTTAAAAATCCAGCTGGAAAATTACAGAGTACAAACATTTGCCCATCGGTTCTTCATTTGGAGAGAACAGAAGTATGTCTTAAAAATGGAGCCTGGCATTTTAAGTATTTATTCCTGTCTGTGGGAGTTGCAGTTTATATTTTTTACTTTTTACTTCTGTAGCTACATGTATTTTGGCTTCTGCATGGTGTAACTGAATTTTAAAATACCATCTTTATTTTATATGGTTCTGTGATGTTCAAATCCTCCAGTGATCTGTTTTTTTCTGAGCCCCTCAAAATCTCTAAAAAAAAGTCAAGATGTTCTTACATCTTCATTTTGGTTCTATTAAATTGAAACACAGTATATTTGGGTTGATACTAATCATAAAAATTGACTCATAAATGTGTCTGAAAAATATGTATTCTTTCAAAAATAATTTTATATGTATTTTAAAAAAATTAATGGGCTTAATTTTTTAGTACAATTTCAGGTTTACAAAATAATTGAGCAGATAGTACATAGAGTTACACTTATCCACCATCCCCCCACACCTTGCACAGTTTCCTTTTTTATTAACGTCTTTCATTAGTGTGGTACATTTGTTACAATTATTGAACCAATATTGATGTATTATTACTAACTATAGTCCATGGTTTACATTAAGGTTCACTCTTGTGTACTTCTTTGGGTTTTGACAAATATGTAATGACATGTATCTACTGTGACAGTTTCATACAGGATAGTCTAACTGCCCTAAGAATCCCCAGCACTTCACTTATTCATCCCTTTCCTTCCTCCCCCTAAAGCTCTGGCAACCATCGCTCTTTTTACTATTTCTATAGTTTTGCCTTTTCCAGAATGTCATATAGTGGAATCAGACAGTATGTAGCCTTTTCAAGACAGGCTTCTTTCACTTAGCAGTATGCATTTAAGGTTCCTCTGTATCTGTTTTTTTGTTTATTTGTTTGTTTTTGTGGCTTGATGGCTCGTTTATTTTATCTCTAGATAATATTCCACTGTATGGAGGTACCGCAATGTGTTTATCTGTTCACTTATAAAAGGCATCTTGATCGTTTCCAGTTTTTGGCAATTATGATGAGTAAAGACTGCTATAAACATTTGTGTACAGGTTTTTATGTGGACATAAGTTTTTAGCTCAATAGGGTACATACCAAGGAGTGGGGATTGCTGGATGATAGGCTGGTAAGCCTATGTTTAGCTATGTAAGAAACTGCCAGACTATCAGGCTTCTGTATTTTGTGCATATGTGTTCTTAGGAATCAACCTAATTAAAAGTCTGGAAGGATATTCTACAAACTATTAATAGTAGTTACTTCTGGGAGATGAGCTTGGGAGGAAGAGGGACTGTCATCTTTTACTGATTTATTTTATATTGTTTTAATTTTTTTACAACAAAATCTTACTTTGTAATTTTTTACAAATAAATTTTTTTCAAAATGCTTTAATTCATAGTAATAAAAATTAAAATTGAATCAATGTAAGTGAAAAGACATAAGACCATTTAAAACAGTATATTGTCAGTTTTATAGCATTTCCTTGTTGTAGAGGACTGCAATATTTTATTTTTTTAAGTAAAGAGAGTAATAACCCCCCTACAGTTGTAATTGTTCATTCAACAAATTTGTAGAGCATCTACCATGTGGCATAGTCTTTCAAAAGATCATACTCAGAATTAAGAAGACAGCACACTTAATCCAGCCTTGAGATATCAAGCAAGGCTTCCTGGAAGAGGTGATAAGTAAACTTAATCCTGAAGGACAAGTCTCAGTTAACTGGGCTAAAGGGGGAGGGGAGGAGGCCAGGGGAAGGAGAATGTACCAGAATAAGGACAGTGTTTTCAAACTAGAGACAGAGTCATTTGCTTTTGATTAATCTGACTAAAACCATAATTAATTATTCTAGACTCTCAGAGAAGCATACTAGATCTTTTCATGTTGTTGGCACTTGTTTGATGATCTATAATTGGGAAGTATGGACTCATACTTTCTTTTGGTTTTCAGTGAATGGCAGGCAGAATGCACTACCCTAATGTCCATTTTGCTTGGAAAACTGGGATAATGAATATAGCCTAAAGATATTTTGTTATTGGAGATGTGTTAGCATCAGTCACTGTTACATGAGTTAAACATCATATTTGTTATCTGAAATTTAGAATCTTGAATAGTTCAACTGTCCCCATTTGTGAGTGTACGTGTGTTACTTTCTTGTGCCATCTATGGCCCTTATACTTCAATCTTTCTTCCTAATGTGTAAACTTCTACTCTATGTCCATAGATGGTTTTCTGTTTTCTATAGGATTTCAGTGAAAAATTTTAAATTATCACTTAGAGGGATGAGGAAAGAAGGAAAACTAGGAATGTGCTTAGGCAGAGAAGTGGCTGTGTTTGCTAGATTATGATATAGGAATGTTAATAAGAAGAATCAATTGAGTCTTGTTATTTGATTTTTTTATCCCAACCCTTTAAGGTAGATTTTAAACATGTTAGAAAGCTACTGGCTTTTATTTAGTAACTTTTTTGAGAATATTTAAAATAATATTTTTTCTGGGATCAAATTCAGCTCTAAGATTATTTCTTTTAAGACTTTAAATGTGTAATAAATAGTTCACATTCTCTTATACTGAAAAGCATTATAGGAAATAATGTGAAAGATGATTAGTATATTACTTTGTTAATCTATTTTCAACAAAAGTCACTACTGAGGTTTGTTAAATATTATACAATCAGTACTTTAATACCTTTTGCATTTAGAAAAGGAAAAGGAAATTCTCATATTTTGAAAAGGAGCAGTGAAACATTGTCATCAGAATACAGTTCTTGGGTTTTAACTTTTGAGTCTTGCCCCTGCCAGCAGGATGACCATGGGCAAGTCATTTAACTTTACTGAGCTAAGTCTTTCTTGTATTTAAATAAATAGAATTAAATAATGTACATGAAAGTTCCTGCAAACTATAAAGCATTAAAAACAAAATTGCCATCATTATTATGAAATTTGTCTTCTGACAACACATTTTATAATCTACTGAACCGGACTCCCAGGAGGTCAGTTATTATCATTTATTCTATAATCTCTAGCCATGTTTTTTATACCCGAGTCTGGCATGTGAATTGTTGAGCAAGTGAACAATCTAAATCTATATACACATATGTACACATATCTTTTCTCTTCTTTCCACCCGTAATGTGACTTATTTAATTTGGCAAATTAGTATAACCATACTTTCCTGTTTTATGATGTTTCTTTTCCTTATTTTTTATGCTGAGTATGAAAGTTGACATTCAGATCTAATGTAGTTTAAGTGAAAAATGTCATAAATTATTAAATTGCATTTCCACATATGGTGTGCCACTTGACACAATGAAAATGGTGCACTCATATTAATAATGAGAATATAATGAATGGTACAATGTTTTGAGACTATTTGATGGTATGTGTGGATAGCCTTAAGTGTTCATGTTCATATCCTTTGACCTAGTAATTTCATATCTTAGAATCCATTTGAAAGAAATAGTCTTAAGTAATGAAAATACTATATATAACATCCTTCATGTCTAGCAGTAAAGGAGGATGATTATATGGACGATTATATAGCCATTTAAAACTGTGCATTGCATAGAGAAGGTATTAATACATGATTTTTAAAACAGAATAAAAATTTGTACCTGCAATATATCTTGACAGACATGGATTTAACAACCAAGGTTGAGGAGAGTATAAATTGGTAAATTTTTAGAGTAATATGGCAATATATCCATTATAAATCCACATACTCTTTGATCTAACAATTATATGTCTCGGTTGCCTTACTGATAAACTGACATGTGCTAAAATATTAGCAGTGATATTCATTACAGCACTAATTATAGTAAGTTTGTCTATGATATTGTGTTAAATAGTTTCTAGGAATTTAACTGAAGAAAATAATCAAGGCTGTAGCTAGATATAAAACTAAGATATATTTATACCTCTACTTAATAATTGTAAAATAACATTAAAATCCTAAATGTCCGATGGTAGAGGATTGGTTAAATAAATTATATATCCTGTCAATGGAAAGTCAGGCAGCATTGCAAATCATGCTGTAGAAGACTGTGATGAGAATCATCTTCCACAATGCACACACACACATGCATACACACACGGGAAAACATATACATATACATATACATATACACTAAAATGTTAACTGTTTTTCTCTAGGTAGTTAGGTACAAATGATTTGAGGTTTTTATTTTTCTTTAATGAGCTATGATTATGTTTATAATATGAATAAAAACTGTGAGGTTTTTTTTTTTTTTTTTTCAAATTAACCTAAGTATGAAGAAAAGGCTTAGAGGAAGTATACCACAATTTTAAACAGTACCTGTTTTAGAGTGGTGGGACTAATGGTAGTTTTATTTATATATTTGTGTCTTTTCTATATTTTTCTTTAATACATAGAAAAATGTATAATATTTTTCTTTAATGGGAAAATGAGTATACTTATTTTATTGGAAATAAAGATTTTGTTTGTTAGCATTGATAAAAGCATGGTTGATAAGCAATTAATTAACATAGTACCAAGTAATTAACAAACTTCTAAAACTTTTTATTTTCATTTTTAGGCCAGAAATGTACATACAGGAGAGTTGGCGGCAGTAAAAATTATTAAATTGGAACCTGGTATGTATGAAAATAATTTTTAACAAGATAGTTTTTAAACAGTTTTCTTGTGCAGTTCATAAATATAGGACTTAAAAGCGTATTCCACATTTCTTTACTTGTCCTTCCTCTGAAAAGAAGTCTTCATGTGTTCTATCAGGTCAGCAGAAAGAGTATCTCTAGTATGGTTATATTAAATTCTATTGGAGATGGTTAGTTAAAGGTGAGTTTGATACAACAGGTTTGTTGCTAAATAAAATTTGAAATATGCATGTTCAAAAATTAGACTGACAATATTAATTTTCTTTTAAGATTATAGTGAAATATCTTAACTTCAGTTTTAGCTTTTACGAGAATTTGATTAGGAAAGTATTCTGTGATTTGGGGGGGAATATACAGATAATATGTGGGATAATGATATTTTGTATGTCGCTGTTCCCTGTGATTAATTTAGATTTGATAATTCTGGTCTTAGCTTAATGCTTATTTTATCAACACCTCTGTATGTCAGAAGACTGCTTGTTTTAAAACACAAGTACTTTGCTTTGAAAACAACACTGTATAAATGCTGAAACAGTTTTACTATTTTGATACCCTAAAAGTTTCTAAAGTTTTTAATGAGAGCAGTAGTAGTTTTTGACCAGGTAAGTGAATATTTGGTAGTCTGTTCATTTGCTAGTTCATCACCTTAGACATGTACAGTAAGTGTGTGAGCATAATTAAGCTAGTTTCTTAATTTGAGCAGTTATAATGGTTTTGCATTTCAAATATAGTATTTGGAGTATTATGTGTGTAATTCATTAGAGAGATGATATTACTGAGGTGTAGTCTATACTGAAACATTTTAAAAATAAGCTTTCAGATATGACACAGTATCCTTTTTTCCAGGCAGGTAGAAATTGTTACAATGCTATTTCAGAATCCTCTTATTAAGTTCCACCTAGTAAGTGTAGAATGATCTCCAAAATGTCACTAACACAAATCAAAGGGGGTATAACAGAACTATGCAAGCATTTGTCTCTTCTGGGGGAATCACTTGAGCAAATATTCAAGTTATATTCAAGGGGTGCTTATGGTCCAGATACTGGGCTGGGCTCTCAGAGGAAACAAAGATGTTTATCTCTTTCTGCCTTCAGTGAGTACACTGAGCTTGTTAACAGCAGTTTCACTTATTTGACTTGAGGGTATGGCTTATTTGTAACTATAGTTCATATAATGCATTAATGAGTATATTTTTAAAATCCTACGATTCTGAATTCTCAGTAAGCCATATATTGGTACTAACATAGGAAGGCAATTTAGTAAAAAAAGAAAAATATGTCATATGTATGCTGTTATTACATAGGATTAAATGCTGGAATCATTAAGACCGTTTGAAAGGTTGGCATTTCTCACTGCATTGTTTTGTAAAAGCCACTAATTATATTAATATGTTAGAGGTTACTCGTATATAAAAATTGAGTAATGTTTAACCTCTTCCCCTCCCCCCAAAATAAAATAGAAGTTCAGTAAACGTTAATGATAAGATGTTAGGATTTGGCCATTGTTCTATTTTTAATTGCCTATCCTCATGCTTTGCCCCAATTCTATCAGATTATTTGTCTGTTTTATTGATTTTTTAGATGCTGTTTGCACTTTGAGAATAGTTGACTCTTCATCATATGTTTTAAGTTTCCTCCAGTTTGTCATCTATCTTCGTACTCTGCTTAGGATATTTTTCTTTTCTGAGTAGGTGTATTTGTTTTTTCTCTTAGATAAATTTGTCATTCCTCCTTTCTTATTCCCCATTTCCCCATACTCAGGCCTTTCTACTAGATAATTATAAAAAATTTTAACTGTAATTTCTTCTAGTGTTATCCTTCCAAAATTTAAATGTTTGCTTCATCAGGAACAATTTTATTCTAAGAGGTGAAAGAGAACTCTAGGTCTATTCTTTTTCAAATGGCTGGACACTTTCCCAAAGCTATTACTACAGATTCTTTTATCTATAGGTTTGATAAACTAAATTTAAACTAAATTTTCCATGTAAACATAAATTTTGTGTTCTGGTCCAGTGATATTTTTTTCCTATTTGTAGTTCAATACTATCCTGGGTTTTGATTACCATAAGTTTTTCTTGCATATTGTAACTTCATTACTTTTATTTTTCAGATACTTCCTTTCTGTTTTTATAATTTTTTTCAGAACTTTAAAATCATTTTTATCAAGGAGAAAGAAAAAGCACTTGTGAGATTAATTTAGAAGATTTGGCATTTTGACAATACTAAGGATTTTTTTCTTATCCAGGTCTTTGGGAAAATATTACAGTTTTTGCCATATAAATCTTCATATTTATGGCATTTCTTGCTGTTGTGAATGGAATCTTTTTTTCCATCTTACACTTTCTAATTAGTGACTTTTGATATTTACATAAATTGTTGATTTTATCAGATATATTTTGTCTCTGATAGTCTTATAGAATTCATATTTTTTTCCGATAGTTTTCAAATCTTTTAAATTGTTCTTACAACTGTACAATCATATCATATAGAAAGACAATTTTAGCTCCAGACTTTCAGATATTGGGATAGTGCTTCCAATGTTTATGCATTAAGCATTAAGGACTAACAGAAGGGCTGATCATCTTCTATAACAGTTCTGTCCATTTCTCCTTCCATTTGTGGCACTTTGTGCTTACGATGTTTTATGTTGTGTCAGTTGACTCGTGAAATTCATGATTATATTATATCTTCATTTATTCATTAACACATTTATTGAGTACCTAACATATGTGAAGCTCTGTTCTAAAGAGTAGGAATGTAGAAGAAAACAAAAAGGCAAAGACCTTGTTCCCCTGGGACATGAATTCTAGTTGGAGAGATAGAATAAAGAAATAAATGTCTAATGCATTGGTCACTCATATTGGTCAGTGGCTTTAGTCTTTCCCTTACTGTCCTGGCTTGCATCCTTCATTCTTAAACATTCATTCCCTTAGTGCTCTTTAATGCCCTTTTTAATCTTGAATATAACTTTGTCAAACATTGATATTACCAACCCTCCTTTTTGTTTATATTTTTGTTGCATATAACAAATGGATAGACCTGGTATACCTGGGCCCTGTCATTATACTTTAATCCTTTCTGGGTCATTGGTGTTTTTCTTGTAAAAAAATTGTATTTGCTTTTATTTTATAACCCAGTCTGTATCTTTCTCCTTTTAATAGATGAGTTTATCACTATATTATTGTTTAGGGAGATGTTTGATTTTACTTCTTTATTGTGGTTTTCGTTTTTAATGTTTTCTTGAAGTTTTTTTTTTAATTATGGCTGGGGATTCTTTTATTTTTATTGCTGATAATTTGAAAGGTACAATTCTATAGTGTTATCAGAGGATAGCTTATATGACTTTGAATAATATACTTAAATTTGTAGTTTTTTAAGTCTACAACTTAAATGAAACAGTCATGTATTGACTCCCTAGATTTAAAGATGTTGAAATTTGCATGTTTATATTCTTCCTGCTTCTTTTTTTTTTTTGAGACAGAGTCTCGCTTTTGTTGCCCGGGCTAGAGTGAGTGCCATGGTGTCAGCCTAGCTCACAGCAACCTCAAACTCCTGGACTCAAGGGATCCATCTGCCTCAGCCTCCCAAGTAGCTGGGACTACAGACACGCGCCACCATGGCCGGCTAATTTTTCTATATATTTTTAGTTGTCCAATTAATTTCTTTCTATTTTTAGTAGAGACGGGGTCTCGCTCTTGCTCAGGCTGGTCTCGAACTCCTGAGCTCAAACAATCCGCCTGCCTGGGCCTCCCAGAGTGCTAGGATTACAGGCGTGAGCCACCGCGCCCGGCCCTTCCTGCTTCTTTATCTCCCAATTGTCAGCTTGTTAGTTTATTTTGGGATTTTAGCCCAGGAACTTTCTAATTATACTGGGTTATGAGTATGTATTAGTCTGTGTATCTTTCTTTTAATAATTATTTACAATCTACTTATAAATGTAATGACCAATTATTTAGACTTAGTTTAATATTTAAATAGACTCAGTACCCACCACTAGTCTTTTCATGCCATGTCCTTGCCATTCTGACTTATTTATTTTGTATCAACTATTGATAGTGAATCATATTATCAAAAAGATTTTCCTGTAAGTGTTAGGAATAACATATTAACTTTTTAAAAAATTGTTTTTTTCTTAAGAGATGGTGTTTCACTAGGTTGCCCATGCTGGCCTCAAACTCCTGGGCTCAAGCAGTCCTCCCTCCTCGGTAGCTGGGACTACTGGCTTGCACCACCATGCCCAGCAGGATAATATAATTTGAATCCACAAATTGATTGTTCATCCCAAACCTGTTCTTCCCTCAGTCTTCTCCATTTTGGTAAGCAGTTAACCAAGCCCAAAATCAAAGCATTAACCTTGATTTCTCTCTTTTATTTGCACTCCAGAGTCAGTCTGTCAGCAAGTTCCTTCAACTCTACCTCCAAAACACATCCTGAATCCATCTAGTTTTTATTGCCACCTCCACCCTCCTGGTCTCCCTGTTTCCTTTCACATACCTCCCTTCTCCTCCCACCATCTAACTTCCATAAAGCCACTGCAGAGAACTTCTTAAAACATAAATCAGATCAGAGCACTCTTCTGCTTAAAACCTTTCAGAAGCTTCCATATCCACTTAGAATCTATTCAAACTTTTAACCTTGCTTATAAAACTCTCCATGATCTACTCTGCCCACTTCTCTGAGCTCATCATGTACACTTCTCCCTTCCCTACTCTGCCTCTGTTTTCTTTTTATTTAAACAGGCCAAGATTAAAGCAGCCATTCTGTTCTGCCTGAAGTACTGTTTTTCATGATCTTTGTGCAGAATGTTCCTGGTTATTCAGATCTCAGCTTAACTGTCATGTCCTCAGAGAGGCCAATATAAAGTAACCACCAGGCCCTTGTTATTTTAGTTTTCTGTATGGACATGTGACTACCTGATACTTTTCTTGTTCATTTATATATATTTTATTTGTCTGTATCTCTCTTCTTGAATATAAGATC